ACCAGCTACTCTACTGAATTTGGTTATTAAGTCTAGAAGACTTTTGGTGGAGTTCTTGGGGTCTTCTATATAGAGTATCATGTCATCTGCAAATAGAGGTACTTTCTAATGTGCAATGAAAAGAGCCCATCCAGCCACCCCAGCAAAGGAAAAGAGCTTGGGTTTGCTCTGGGTTTGGATAAGACTTTGGAGGGGAAAGTGACTATGTCTGTTGCATAACAACATAGCAGAAAACTGGCGTGGGTCTGAGCAGGAGCCATGGCTTAGCCAGGGCCTGCTCATCCCCGAGGCTATTCCTAGTGAACACTGCTACCCAGACTACCCACTTAGGGATTCCATATTTTCAGAGATGTGAGTGTTGAACTCAGTGACCCATCCTTCCAAAAGCTGTTTGCTAGTTGCTGAGGCAAAAGGCTGGAGAAAGAAGTCTTAAAACAAAATAGCAGAGACCTTAGGTCTTGGAAGGAACTGAAGCTACACTGTGGGCAACACTGGTTATTCCAGCTAACTTTTCATAGGTCTGACCCTCAGAATACATAAGTTGTTATGCTTATTTCTGTGGTTCCCACTTCCTTCTCCTCTGAAGGCAAGGCTGGAAGAAACATTGTGAGGGCAAAGCCCTGTCTGAGTGGAAAAAAGGATGTGAGGTTTCATGAACTGGAACCTGACCCAAGATGCCTGGCCCCGACTCCCCAGGATGTGTAATGAATGTCAAAATGCCCACATCATCTTCTCCCCTTTCTCCCATTATTCCTTCTCAGAGTTGGGGAGGGAAACCTGAGCTGTATTTGAGGAAAATAAACAGTTCCACTTAAATGTCTTCACCATGAGTCAATTTCAATGATGTCATAATAGCATGATGTTAAGACTTGAAAAATCATCTCTGAAATGTTTCAGACCTAAAAGGAATAAATTTTTCTTTTTAAACTAAGGAGTCCTACTAGTGTTGCCTGAAAATGGCTGCTTGTGGCCCTGAAATGGCTGCTGGTGTAGCCCTGAAATGGCTGCTCATTCAAACATTAGATTTTGAAGTCAGTTAGACTCAGTGGGCAACCTGAACAGGCCTCTGGGCTGCAATTTACCAACCACTCTCCAAAAGCATTCTACCATTCTCCTCCAACACAAGGGACACACAGCACTTCCACAGGGAATATTCCTTTGTCTTCAAGGGGGTCCTCATGGAAACTCTACTGGACAAGAGAGAAATTGTAGCTCTTATGCCCAATGTCTGGAGACTTCCCACAATTTATTCCATCATCTATTTAAATGAAATCTATCAAATTCAAAAGCCACACTTTACCGATCCCCATGACAAAGATGTTTTCAGTCTTAGATCTGCAGGTTTTATTAGCTTGGCTGAAGGGAGACTGAGTACATACAGCAGGGAGCCAGGGATCTTTGACCCCAGAGAGGCATTCCCAAGGTGCTCTCTGCACCACACAGGGTGGCCTTCTCTACTGGCCCATGTGGCAGGGTAGCTCTGCTTCTGCTGAATTTTTTCTTGTATAGTTACCTGTCTGCCTGTCTCTGCCCTTCCAGGCCAGAGCTGGTTGAAGCTGCCTTGTTCTAAATTTAGGTGAAAATAGTAGGCTCACATTGAATGCAATCTGACCTAGAGAATGCACCCAGTTGAGGTTTGTTGGAAAAAATGGTTATGCCAGCAAATAACCTTCCCACTCAGAAGAAATTCCTCACTGATCTGACTGAATATTGTGGCGATTCCTGAAAAACACTGTTTTCCAGACACCCAGGTTTTCTGTGGGTTCACTTCATGCCCAGTGGTTTTACTTGCATGCTTACACTTTTTTTTTAAACAAACTGTTCCTGATCAAAAATAAATAAACATGAAATGCATTATAATCATATAATATTGGTACAATGTAACAAGCATTACAAACCAAGAAGAAAAAGCTTTGAAGCTCATATAACAATTGAAGAATAATTCTATAAGATGACTGAAGAAAATTTGAAAAATATAGAACCCATTAGTTGCACTAAATCAATAATCTGTGTAAATAGAACTCCATAAATATGCATTTTTTACAATTATTGTCCTGTCATCCATGTGTCTTGCGGTGCCTATTCTTAGCCAAACCTCCTGCTTCATTAAAACCAATGGCACCAAGTTAATGAGTGCAGTTAGCATGGATCTAGCACCACCCATTCAAGGACTAGGGAAAGACTTTTTAAAAATAACAAAATCTGCAAAAAATTCAAGGTAATGGGAAGTTGGCCAGCCCTAACAATTTAATTGATCTTTCTTTTCGCAAAACTCATAAAATGTATTCTTACTATGTCACTCTCCCAAATGTTTTATTTATTCGTTATTTCTATAAATACTAACTTAGGATGAAAAATGCGTTTTCCTGGATAATTTTCTGCAATACCCTCAGAAATTTAAGAGGAAAAGATTGCTTCTATTCTTGAGTTATCCTTATTTAACAAAAGTGTATTAAGATTACAACCCACATTTATATTCCCTTTTATAGTTTCCAAGACATTTGGAAATAGATATTCATTGCTATTTTCTCCTCACAACTATCCTATGAAGAGATTACCAGATCCATTGGCCATACGGTTAGATATAAGGGTGTAGAGAAGAGCTTATTTCAGTACAGTCTTTCTTTGGGGACTTTGCCTACTGACTTTTTTTTTTTTTTTTTGGTACAGGGGATCGAACTCGGGTCCTTGTGCTTGCGCAGCAGGCTGTGAAACCACTGAGCTAAATCCCCGGCCCAACCTGACTTTTGAAACACTTCTCTTCCCCATGTCTGTCCCTCTGTGCCCCACCTTTTTTTCTGTTATTTCTTCCTGTTTCTGTTCTGCCTACCATTCTCTTTGATGCTCTCTGAATGTAGTGTACCCTTTACCCTGGGGTTTCTTAGTTCCTAGTTTTACCCAGACTTGGAAGATCATGGCACTTCCGCATAGCCTATTTAACCCTAGCCTAGCCACTTTCTTTGACTCCAGAGAAATTTCCTCTGAACTCAAGGTTGGTGTGCACCATAGAATGAGGTCACCATAGACCCCTGTTTTTCTCCAAACTCCTTGAGGCCTGCACCCTGTCTTTCACTCCCATGAGTTTCCACAATCTCTTGTACAAAGCACGTAATAGTTAACATTAAAAAGATTTGATGTTGGCTGTTGGTTTCACTGAACACATGTAAGATCGTTGAAGAAGTACAAAATAAGATCTTGCCATTAGAACACTTTTATTTTCAAAATGCTCCTTACAAAAACCTTTGTATCCTGGGCCATGCACTCTTCATTTTACACAGGTCAATGAGTCATAGAATCCTTAAAATATGGAAATCATTTATTTTGATGTAGGTTTAATGACCCTCTAGGACCCCTTCCCCTTTCATTTTTTGGGGGGCTGGGGCTTCCAGACCCTAGGTGCCCCCTGAAGCACCTCTAGGTTGGAGTGCACATGGCTATCAGGGCTTCTCCCTCCTCCTCACTATCCTCCAGGCAGCCGTGGCGCAGAGCATGGAGCTGCCGGGCGTCCTTTACATGTGATGATGTCATAGGTGGAACTTCACACAGCCAGCTTGCAACGGGTCCCAACATGGGAGGATCCCTGAGAGTAGCAGAAGCACCTGGACCACACAGGGACTTCCTTCAGGACCATATATTAGTCAGCTCCATGCTGACTGTAACAAAACACCTGGGGCAATTAACCCATCAGGAGAAAAGATTTCTTTGGGCTCACACTTCTGAAGGGCCTGGTCCAAAATCAGGAGGCAGAACAGGTAGAGCAGGTAGCAGCTAAAAGCTACCTGCTTCTCACAAATCAAGGAGCAAACAAGAGTCAGCAGGGACCCAGGGTCCTACATTCCCCTTCAGGGTCACGTCCCCCACTGACCTCCTGATAGTTCCCAAAGGTCCACAGCCCCTCCCGGGAGCTCCACTCCAGCGACCAGGCCTTTAGCACGTGGCCCTGGGGACACTGCCATCTCCCACCACACCAGATGGGAAGATAGGTACCAGTACCAGGGCTGCACCCGGAAAGGCAGTGGCACTCTCTCCCCATCTTCTGCCACTCTCTCTTACCCTGCTCCCCAGGCCACAGGAATGGGGAACAGGGACACTCAGACTATCTCTACCCAGACTCACCAAGCACATCTGCCTGCGCCGGAGAGAAGGGTGGGAGCTCGCAGAGCCCCGGAGGAGAGGGGGTGAGACAAGAAAGATGGGGAGTTGCCTTACACAGAGCCACAACTTCTGCAGCTCCTACCGCAGGGTTGCACAGCCCCCACAAAAGGCTGGCGCCCGAGCTGCGGTGTTTACCTTTCCTTTGTCTTCTTCATCTTATTGGCTGGGCTCTGATGATGAAAATAATCCTTACTCCCTGTGAAACATACAGAGAATATTTTTCAAAACCACAACACTGAAACACTTAATAAACCATTGACATTTTGATCCTTTGTCTTCCAGTGTTTCTATTTGTACCAACTGGGAGTTGTAGAGTATTTCATTTTGCATCCTGCTCTTTTCAAGTCACGTAAGATTCCCAAGATCTCACAAAGTTTCCACCATGCTAGCATTTTCCAAAATATGATCCATGTGAAGAGCAGGCTAGCAGTGCTGCTGTCTCAGGCTTCTTTCTTCCCCCTGCACCATGCGTCTGCACATCTGGGTTAATCAACAGCGTTTTCAGATGTTGGACCCAGCCCAGGACTCTTCAGAGTGCTTGTTTTCCTTCACATTTCATCTCTGTCCTCCATACATGTTTCCAGGGTGGAGAGCACCTTTTCATGGCTTCCTCAACACTTTGTGGGGTGATCTGAATTGACACTAGCAGTGTGACACTGAGCCACATTTTCCAAACAATTAGGACCCATTATCTGTGTTTGGTGGGTACTAGGGAACAAGTGAGCACTGTACTGACAACCCGGAACATGGCTTGTCCATGCTCTCTCCAGTCACAGAGCAGAGCCAACAGCTGTGCCAACAGATGCAGTGAGAAGTAGAGAAGTACCCTTCACACCTGACAGGCCAGGCAAAGCCCAGCCCTGCAGCACTGGCCATGTGAGCACAGACCAGAGGCCCTGTCTGTTTCTCCTCTCCTACACTGAGAATCACATGTGCTCTCCACACGTACGGGGATGGTTAGCAGCAGCATCAGAATTCTGCGCATCACACAAACCTGCTTTTAATGAGGACTGCTGATTATCACTCCGTTTCTACATTTTACTTTCTCTAGCATCTTTGAGCAGGTGATTGCTCAGATGTACTGCAGATGCCTTCACAGGGTGAACCACATTTCACATGAACTAGTGACATATTCTACCAAGAAAGGGACAGATTCTGGCTGAAAGAAATCCCACGTGCAACTGTGGCTGAACTTAATAGGTTGCCGCCACTGCTGCTGCGATTTCCAAGCTACAGGGTAAAAAGTTAACGCTGTGTCCAGATTTCCCTGCCTGATCCCTGCCACACCCCCTCTGGCAACCTCATTCTTGGTGAAGAAGAAAGAACGAAATCTATAGTTACCTTGAAAAGCATTCATGCGAAAAGAAAGCCCGGATTCATAAGTAATCTGACTTCTGCATCACTTTTGGAAAGAGTATCCTGTTACCAGCTAAAGCAAACAGAGCCGTTTCCACCCTAGGAACTGACAGGCCGTGCAAAAGGGCAGATTGGAAAAGATTAAATATTTGTGCAGAAGCCCAGCCCCCTCCACAGAGGGCGCCTTGGTCTGGGATGAAAGGGAAGCGAGGCAGGAAGGAGCTGCGAGCTGTGCAGGAGCAGCCTTATCTGAGCAGAGGAAGGACGGGGCTGAGAGCCAGAGGCCAGAAAAGGGGAGAAAACTGCACAGGGACCTCAGGCAGGTGGCCCTCCAGGGTGCTCTGAGGCTGCCCTTTGACCGCGGCCCCAGAGCTGGCCTCCGGCTCAGGGTGGAGGCCAGGGAAGCCGAGCCGGGCGCCCCAGCCCCCCAAGGCCTGCCTGCCAATGGACGCCAAAGGGGCACTGAGAAAAGTGAGAGACGCTGGCCGACTGCTACAGGCCACAGTTTTCGGCTCTGCTGACAGCCTATCAAAGCTAGCTTTCTGTCTCTGAGACATGTTAGTGGCGGCCAGGAACTTAGAACGTGAAAGGGAGAAGAAGGAAGGGGGAAAGTCCTCACACAGTGGAGCGGCCTGTGTGGGCCGGAGCGAGGCGGCTGATAAGATGCGAACCTTGGAGGAGCTGGGTTTGCTGTGGACTTTGGAGCTCCTCCTGGGCCCGCCATGAACACGAAGAGGAACGGGGCTGTGCTCCACCAGAAAAGCAGCCCGGGGCCCTTTGAACTCGCCTCAAGTTACCCAAGCTTGAGGAGGAAGAGGAGGAGGAGCGGCCAGGGGAGGACCGGCTGCAGTCCCCTGGGCCGCTTTAGGAACAGCGCTAGCCAGCAGCACATGACAATCCCTGGGACCCTTTCCAAAAGATGCTGATGCCAGGCCAGCACACTTGATTAAATCAAGCTCCTGAAGTGTCTCATTTTTTAATCCCCCCCGGTGATATCTAATGTGCAGCCAGCCCATGAACCCAACCCGACGCGCCCTTCTGCAGCATACTTTCCTCGGGCCTGACACTGAAGAAGCACACCCGGGAGCTGGCCGCGGCTCTGCTGTGTCCCAGGTTCTGGGAAGCTCTTGCCCTGGTGGCCCAGAGCCCGTCCCAAGGGCCCAAGCAGCTCAACCTCGTGTGCAAGGCAGAGGGGACAGAAGCGAGCAGGAGGCACACACTGCTCCACGTGCACTGAGTGTGCCCGGCACTGTGCCACACCCAGGGTGCACGGCAGGGGCGGCCCGTCCCGCTGCCTGGGTTTTCCATGCGGTCAAAGCAGCCCACGGCCACAGACGGGGCTCAGGACAAGTTTCAGAAAGGTGACTGTGCGATTCCAACATGTCAGAGGTCTCATCCAGCCTCTTCCTTAATGACAGAGTCAGTGAATGTTCAGACCGGTCCAGAGAAATTTGTGTTTCTAGGTAATTCACAAAAGGAATGTCAGTGTAACGTGACTGGGTGATATACAAACCGATTAGCCTCTTATGGGGAAATGAACTGTGCACTTTGGAGTTATTTTTTAGCCTGCCAGACAGAAATTGTATCTCTACTAAGCAAAAATGTGCAACTTAACACATAACTTCTCTGAGTTCAGGAATTTTAAACAGTAAACAGTGAATTGAAGAAAGCATTTTGCCCCATGAAACACTGAAAGGACAAGACTGTTGTTCACCCATTTGCCTCATTTCTAAATTTCTGCTCATTTTTCTTGGTAGTGTTAAGACCACAGATCTACAAAAGAGGTGCAGAAGTGGCAACACACAAGAAAACCCAGAAACTACATAATTACAATCGAAGAAAGCACAGAAGCTGTCGGTTATCTGCCAGCCTGTGGGGGTTACCCACACATCAGCACTGGCCACCAGCCCCTTTCGATCAGGGAGGATGGACTCAACCTTTCATTCTGCAGACCCTGGACACTCAGCTCCTACGGGTTCCTCAGCTTTCTGTTACTGTAATAAAACAGGTGATATGCTCAACCCATAAAAGATTTACTTCGCACCATACTGAGGACCTGGAGTAACCCCCAAAGGCCCATATGTGATGACTACGTCACCTGCCTGTGGCACTATGGAAAAGTGGGGAACTTTTAGAAAATGGGGCCTAGCAAAAATCCTCAACACACTGGCAAACGGAATGTGGTGAGTCATCAAGATCATACATCATGGCCAAGTAAGCTTCACCCATGGAGCAAGGATGGTCCAACACACACAAATCAATAAATGTCATGCATCACATAAACAGAAGGACAAAAACCACACCCTTATCTCCATAGACACAGAGAGGCTGACAAACTCCAACATCCATTCATGACGAAAACCCTGAGGAAAGGCGATATCGAAGGACCTCACCTCAGTCTGATAAAAGCTTTTATGACGAACCTACCACCAACATCATATTAAATGTGGGGGAAACTGAAAAGCCACCTGGGAGCTTTTGGAAAGCATGGACGCCCCGTGCCTACGTACTACGAGGTCCTAACCTCTGAGCTTGTGACCGTGGTTGCTGTCATTTCCTGCAAAGGTCATGAACCCCAGTTTGGTCCACTCTGATATTCTGGATTCTGTTCTTTAGTTGGTTTTTGAGCAACCACTGAAGTGGTTCTTATAAATTCCCAACCTTCTTTGACTTACAGAAACCTTTGAGAACCCAAAGAACATAACGTACCCCCCCTTAAAAACCATTCATTTTACATGCACATAATCCCATTTCAGGGACCCACTCCCCTCTCCTCGGCCTTGAGCAGCCATTAGTTGATTCTAAATTTAAAATCCCTGATCTGCTTTGAGTAGTGTCCCCCACAATACTGGGATCCCGTGCACGGGGGCCTTGTGCTGAGAGCTGCACATGGCGAGGCCTCTGGTCCAGCTGAGGTGCAGGCTGGCAGGTGCCAGGTGTTCCTATCTCGTCCTCTCCAAGCCCGGCCAGCAGGTTTCCAAGCTCACCCCTGCCACCTCAGGCGGTGCCTCCCTGGCCGGACTGCCGTGAACTTGCCTGGGGCTGGTTAACAAGCACTCTGCTTGGCCCCCACCCTAGAGGACCCCTGTACATTTCTGCAACAGACACTAGCATTTTTGGAAGCCACCTTGTGCCTCTCCTGGGCAGCCTGGCCGAGCCCCTGTCCAGCAAGGCTACTGGGGAGGGGGACGGAGTCCCAGCCGACCCTGTCCTGCTGCACAGGTGCGCTGACTCTGGGCACTTACTGTCCTAATGACTCCCAGCTGCAGGCCAGGCTAACTGCAGTGGTTTTATGAGCTCCGTAAAGTTTAATGACCTAAAATATTGAGTGCTTTTAGCACAATATAACAGGAAGGTGCCAGCCAGGGACTAAGAAATCCAGGCTGGGGGCCTAGGTAGCCTAAGAACCACGTGACTGGGCTGTAGGTCCCACTGCTGGTGCCTCCTCCCAGGGCTGCGAGGCAAGGCCTGCGGGGCTGGGCAGACCCGGTTCAAACCCCGTCTGCAGTGTGGGCACCAATTTAACCTCTCTCAGCCTCACTTTGACCTTCAAATCCGACAGTAGTACTTCCTCAAAAGGCCATCACCAGCGCTGATATGGCAGCGTGAACTCTAGCACACGGTAAGGGCTCAGTAACGTTTGCTAGGATTCTTTCGCTTCAGAGAGGCACTGTAAGGATGCATCTGGAAGCCACACGCAGGCTTGCTTAGCTGCAGAGTAGTTAAGTTGACGTCACCATTATTGGCCTGGCCCCTTTAACTCGGCTGAGGCCAGTGCTCGAGTTGAGCTGATTCTGGAGTACTTGCAAAGAGAAGTTCAAGTCTCCTGCTTCTCCTTCGATACTTTCAGAAAGCTCTTCTGAGACCAGAATTGGAAAGAGTTCAAGAATGGCACCTTCCTAGTCAGATAGGGACCAAAACTCAAGCTAGCCCCACCTCACCAGGGCTCGGAGTCAGTCACCTCTTCACGCAAGGCGAAGGCAAGCCCACCTCCTGGGGCCTGGCCAAGCCTGATAGAAAAGCACCACACTGAATGTGCTGAATGAATTGCTCACATTTGATTTTTAAAAGCACTATATTATTCTTGATGTTTAAAATGCAACTGCAGTAAGTCTTGCATAAGGTTAGTGGGTCTGAAATATTTCGGAGAAAATTTTTCAAAATGTTCTCTTTTATGTCTTTCTTATGAATGCTGCCATATGCACTCTTAAAAAAAATGATCAACTTCCCCAAATTTCTGGCTTTCCATGAACAGGGAGTTTGGAGTCATGTAGCTCCCTGATCAGATGTAAACAAACCTTCTTATGTTTGCTCAAATCTTGGGTGTTTGAGACTGCTTTCATCTCCTCCAGGAAATGTTGTTACCTTAATGGCATAGCTGTGTGGTAGCACTCACCAGCTGGGGCATCCAAGCACTAGTCTGCTCCCTGTTTGAAGACAGAAAGCAATACGCTAGGCGGAAGAGGGAAATTGTCAACTACATTCTGGAACTATGATATAATGGTTTACCAGCTGAATAAGCAAAATAAGCCACATGTACCAGATTGCTAGAGAAAAGTCACTAAGAACATAAATAATAAATAAATGTTCTGTATGTTAGGAATGAAACTGAGGACTTCATTCTCATACTTAGCTGAATACTCTTAACAATCCTGTGAGACTAACAGCATTCCCCTTTCACAAATGAGAAAATTAAAGCTGAGGAAGTGTAGGAAATTTCCCCAGGGGTATATAAATGTGTTAAGTCAATTTTGTAATTAAATCTAGATCTTTTCACTATAAACCTTAATTCTTAACTATTGCGGTGTACTACCTGAGTATGTATCCCAAATAACTTTTTACCTAGAATCTTAGCCCCCCATTCCCATGAAAATGTTAACAGATTCCAACTCACGAAGAAAATAGAGTCAAAATTTTCTCTTTCCTTCTCTCTGGGAACCTACCCTTCTATCAGAGATAGAAATAACCAAAGGACAGGCAACAGAAAGAAGGGACCAAGAAAAAAATCTGAATTGATCAATAGACAACAGATCTTCAACCAAATCTGCAGAGTTTTCAGAAAATTCAGAAACTTTAAATCTATTCATTTACAGAACAATACATTTGTTAGCCCATTCTTATGTCAAATGAGGGCATAAGTTTGTCTCACCTGTAGTCCTGGCTTCCCCTCACGCCAACGGGGTAACCTCAGAATCCCAACCCTATATGGGGTGTAGACCTCACTACCAAGGTGACTTCTGGCCCTGACCTCCATCTTACTGACCAGCTGTCTAATATTTTGACTATAGAAAAGCCTAGAAGTGGGTTGTAAAAAGGGGAAGAGCCAGGAAGAGAGAAGAGAGCAGTTCTGGCTCAGTCACCAAGTGAAGATGCATCGATGAGACCATGAGCACATCCTCTGAGGCTCCTAAAGTTCCACGAAAAGGAGATCAATTGCATTGTGTGTTTTGCAAAA